TATTTCCATTTAGATCCAAAACAAAATATGAAACTCGATCATAAAATTACATTTTGTTCGCGTATTTTATTTTATTATTTGTTTATTCTATTAAAACGAGACTGTTTCCGAACCTAATATGATAAAATATGCCTTATTAGCAATACATCTCCTTCTATAGTCGAAATTAGGTTTTACACTTTTTGTTTTGACATATTTCCTTTCAATTTAAACACAATGTTATTGCTAAAGAATAATTTTTTTGAACTTAAAAAATAGGGGGATGTGTTGCTAGTGACCACAGTATAAGATACTGAAGACATCAGAAAAATTAGGTCTGTTTTTTAACGCCAATTCCAACTATGCAATTACAAACTATATCATCTTTTTTCTGGAATAATAGTGGGATACATGCGAACTACTTCATTTAAAAAACGAAGTCAGTGTACATGGATACATGTAATTTTGTCACGCGTAAAAATTTCCGATTACCAATAGTTCACAAAGAATTTTCCTTTTTCCGAAGAGTAAAGCCTGCATTCTGAGGATAGTAACGTTATCAAATTGTCTGTTTTTGGCTCTACATTTGGTCCATGTAGGTTTTATCAGCTCTTTAACGTTTGTATTAAGTTTTTTTTCGAATATTTTGGCCTCCAGCTTTTTTGAAGAGACATTAATTGTAGAAATACGTATCTGGTGCTTAAAAATTTGTACCATGAAAATCAATGCTATTATTTTATTGTTTAACATAATACTAAAGTTTATTTATCGATGAACTAAAATTGCTTTTTCGTTTTACTGTATCTTGCTAAGTTTACAGTTTGCCGGCGTCTTTCTTGTGATTTTTTTAACATCGAACTTGATTTATCATCAATTGACTATGGAAATTTTACTTGGCTAATAGAGGGGAATGGTGCGTAATGCTTTATTATATTCTATTTGAAATTAAGCATAATTTTCATTTTAAATATTAGTGCTTACCTGGAAGGCCCCAGCTTATAAAGTGATAAAAAATAGTCCGTTTGTAAATTCTTACTCTGGGTCCATTGTTAATCTGTTCCATTGGCGTTCTATACAATAAGTGAAACGCGATAATAGTTGTCCAGAAAAACGAACTCATGCTTGACATAATTGTTACGAAAGCCTGGAAAATGCATAACGGGTCACGCCCAGTATGACACGCTATAATCGCATTAACTGATTTGTGATCCACGGACCCAATAAAACGAATTGCGCCAAATATATTTCCAAGGGCAACAAACAAATCCGCAACTGTTAAGCATAACAACAACCTCTTGGGTTCATTTATATACTCTCCACTCCTCCATCTGAAAAATGTGAATATGAACAACAGACACGCACCGATGACGGACATTGAGGACGTGATGATCGTTAAAGCGATGTCAAAGTTAGTAGTTTTATTAATGTATTCCTCGGTGCCATTTGTAATATTTTCCATTTCAAACCTCTTAACCTATTTTACACTTCAACACTTTAGAATATAATTCGGTCGGATGATATGAGATTTTTCTTTAATGTCCTTGTCGTTCTTAATATATAAATCAATGAAGAAGTAAGTAGTCCCATATTAAATAGTTTTAGATAAGACTACGTGTTCCTTGTTTAAGTTTGAGGAGCTTATTATCGTTGTTGCACATATTTATCTTATCCTCTATACAGTATCTTCATTGCACTAGTCTAGCTTAATATAGTCAACAAGATATTGGATTGAAGTGAAGAAAGAGTACCTCGCTTTAAATTTGTTTGCTTAGCAATGACAATCTGATTCAGTGATGTATTAAGCTGATTTATCTAAAAAGATCATTAGATAACCAGTTGGAATGTTTGGCGATTCAATTTTATGTCGTGTTGAAAAGAACCAAGCACCCTTTTCCCCCTCTGGAAAAATACAAAACGAAAATAAAAAGAGATAAAATATTAGAAAGTAAAACACTTTTTGTTTAATTAGATTTTTTACACTGACTGACTGAAAATATTCCAAAGTGTTTTTTCACGTGTTAGTCGCAATACCTAGAATGCCCTTAACACCATATATCGGCCATCGTATTTTCATCATATACTTTTAATAAACCTAGTACACATGTATGAAGGATATACCGCCTGCAAATAACAATTTTTCAAAATAATAACGGTGGTTTAAGTGGAACCGGAACTGCAAACATGTCAATAGCACTGACATGAACGACGAATATAGTGTTTAATATTTCACTGGTTTTCGATGTTATATTTTCTTGACTCTGGTTTGTCATTTTATCTTTTCTCTTTTAAAAATTGCGTTGTCTGTCTGTTTTCGATTTTCCTTCTTAACCTCACCTCGCCTTCCCATGGTATCTTCCTTTCATCATTGCATGTAACATTTAAACACCGTGACCGACAGTTTCTAGGAACTGGTGCAGATTTCGTGAGTAGTACAAGCAATGGACTTTTACCTAACATCGCAAATAATAATAAGATTGTTTCCTTATCTCTACATTTTGACGAAAATACCTGACTTTGTATAACAAAACGAGAAAGTTTTGTTTATTCATTAAAGGAGTAGGTTAGATAAGGCCATAAACTGGCCCCTATTTTTAGTTTACATTTTAAATTTCGATTAATTTACCATTAATACGATGAATCTTAGCTAATATAATGGCTAGATAGGAAATATGTCTATTTGTTTAAAAAAACAAGATATTAACATTTTTTTTATGAGATCACAAATAGCAAATATTTTGATTTTTTTTTTGAAAATTCAATGGAAACAGGTATATTTCCATAGATTTTTTAGACTGGAAACATATAGCGCATGCGTCGACAAAAAAGACATTTTAACACAATGTTTGTTATAACATTTTACATATATCTGAATTAAAATATTTATATTGTCGAAGCCTGCGCTCTATGTTTCCTAGGCCTAAATATGGTTGAAATCCAACCAATTTTGTCAAATTTCAAGAACATTTTTTAAAATTGCTCTTTGGGTTGTAAATAGAAATATTTCTAAAATGCATTATTTGTTTCATTAGGATCAATGATAATTTTCTTTCAAAATTGTTTCATTTGGAATGAAAAAAAGGACCCAAGAAATTACAAAGTAATATAAAACAAGAAGATTCAGTATGATTTCCAATGAGTCAGCTATCCACCCGAGACCACATGACGTAGATGTTCGCAATTATAGATCGCCTTACGGCCTTCAATAATGAACAAAACGATAGCCTTGACAAAATTAAATATCAAACAATTAAAATGAGAAAACCAAATGCCTGATTTATGTACAAATCAACAAACGAAAAATTAACATATTTTTGTGTGTGTCTTTTTATGTTATGTTGTAATAGGTTATATCACTGTTTCAGGTTAGGGTGAATGTTGGCGCCTGTCAAAACGTTTACACCCGCTGCATTTTTATGCACCTGTCCTAAGTCAGGAGCCTGTTGTTCAGTGGTTGTCGTTTGTTGGTGTGGTTCATAAGTGTTTCTTGTTTCTCGTTTTTATATAGATTTGTTTTCCTGTTTGAATTGTTTAACACTAGTCTTTTTGGGGCCCTTTATAGCTTGCTGTTCGGTGTGAGCCAAGGCTCCGTGCTGAAGGCCGTACTTTGACCTATAATTGTTTACTTTTTACACATTGTGACTTTGATGGACAGTTGTCTCATTGGCACTCATACCACATCTTCTTATTTATATGATATACAGTAACAAATGACAGCCACTCACACATTCACTCCAACGTGTTTGTTGGAATTTAAAAGAGGGGCGAAAGATACCAGAGGGACATTCAAACTCTTAAATTAGTTTTTCAATCATACTTAGTATGTACAATTTTTCCACACTAGATACTAGATCTTCTGATCTTTTTTCTTGTTATCAAAACGTTAACGTATTAAGCGATCCTACACAAATCATTTATACAATATGACAAAACATGATCGTTTTTATTCATTCGTAAATATAATTGATAAAACTGGACATTATAATCGACCTAGTTCTACTTCTAAATAATGATCTTTCATATATTTAAATTCGAAAACTTTGAAAGTAATTGACAACTTATTAAGTTTTTCGAAAATCTGAGGTACTTTTTTTAACTTAATTCCATTTATAGTTTATCAAAAATAAAGAGTTTTAACTGTCGTCCATGTTAAAATTTTGTGCCATGCAGAGACGGTTAATAACTTTAATGTCATGACTTTCTTTTGACGAGACATCAAGTCAAAACTGTGGTTTTGTTTCGCGTCCGCTGGCCATGGCTGATTGGTATTTTCACTAGCGCTTACAAACAATCTAACAATATTAAGGTGAATCAAATATGTATTAATTTGGATCTAAACCATGACAAATTTAATCAAAACCATGACAAATTTCTAGACACTTAACTGAACCATGTCAATCACTCAACCAAACCATAACAATTTCGATATTTTGCTTATCCCGGGTTGCGTTAAATCTTAAAAACAATAATTTCAATGTATATCGTTTGATTTAAACATCTTATTTTCTGTTGATTTGCTTATTTGAAAAGAACTGAGGTAATCGTTCTCGGATGCAACCTAACCAAACCATGACAAACTATGACAACATCACTGAACGAAACACTCCTCGATATGACGACGTTACTACCCATGATAAATAAAAGAGATAAATGCATCATATTTTCGGTTTACAGTTAGAGTTTAATGTTCAACATGTTGAATGTAAATTTCTACCAAAAATCGGTGACATATACTAGTAGCCCATTTTACTGTTCCTTTACCACCGGTTTCCTTTTTTTGAGTGCCGGTAGCTAATAAGGCTCGAGGCAGTGTAAGGCGATTCAACGCACTGAAAGATTGGAACAACAAACATTCTAAAGTACTGTACAATCATATTGTACTTCGTTTTCATGTGTCGATTTAATTGTAAGTTTGCTTTAAGAACCCAGGTTCGACTATTCGGATCCGATGCGTATTGCATACAGTGAAATTTGAACAAAGATATTATGTTTTTGTAGATGGTAAAACTAATATGAAACAGCCATGTAAATAACAACTTTAATATACAAACAAGGAAACAATTTGTTGCACCCACTTCTAGGTTGCAGGTGCATGTACTGCCGTTGTGCTGAAAAAGAAAATCAATTCTAAATTATATTATGTCTAATATTCGGATAATTAATTAATAAATCTCAACGTGTTTTTGTATTTATCCAGTCATTTCTTCCAAGTGTTTAGCTTTGAATGTTTCTAATGAAGCTAAATCAAGAAAATAGCTTCGGACACATACAATTTATAAAATATTATTTTAATAGGCTGTATATATTTGACATTTTTCTATCTTTATATTCTGCATCATATTTCATTCAATTTCATTTTGTGATAGCAGAAGAATATGTTTTAATTCTGTTTTGTAGAATGAGCCGTTTTGATATATACCAATGTAATAAACAATGACCTTATAAGTGAAACATAGAAATCTACACTTATAATATATTTTTACGTGTAACACCAAACAGCAATCAATCATTCAATTAAATTATTGTTACAACCTGTACATGTTGTACGCAGGTGTACTGCTGAAATATTACATATTTCCACCAGATTTCCAATTTAAAACATATACGAGAATTTCAATTCAAATCGTAAGCAGCACTCTCGCAAAAACTAATTGAAAATGTCGACTAAATCAATTATTTTTTTATGTATCCAAGTATTCAATTTCCGCAGTTTCCTAAAGTATAAACATAAACTTCACGAACTTACCAATTGACCTTGTGTGACCCTACATAGAAATCGGCGTGACATCCGCCACAGTAGTTATCTCTGAAATGCATTATAAATGATAGCATCAATCCAATTGGTGAGACATACACCTTAGAGAAAAACATACGTAGTGTGTCTATTTGTTACGTTCATAGTATAACATGGTATGTAAAGAACAAGTGCGAAAGGCAATATATGGCGTCGTAATGAAATTTTGTAATAAGGTCAGCTTATCAGGAACATCAAATGAATGGTAACTTAATATACTAGTAAGAATAAGTCTCGTATGTTGTGCTACAGGCGCGGATTCAGACGGGGGTGGGTGGACACCCGCACCTCTCATAAAAAGGAAAACAATGTAATATAATATGGGTAAAGTTACAGCCAGTTTTGTTGTCAACATACAGTTCTAACTTCTAATTCGCATGAGCCCCCTCTCCCCACCAAATCCTGGATATCCGCCTATCCTACATCCAGATTTAATCTGAATGTAAGGTCTGACCTGTCACTCTAAGTCACATGAAAATAATTATAACATACTAATTTAGTTCTAGAAATAACTTTGCCATCAATTTATGTTATGTAAAACTTGTGTATCAATTAAAGATGTGAATAATACTTTATCTAGATACTATCAAAAATATGTTTGGATCATGCAGCAGAACGACCGACTCCTTCTTCGCAATCCTTTACTATCAGTCAATCACTTAATTACTATAGGTAGACTGAAAATCTATCAATCAAAAATTATTCCTGTATTTTTTTGGTGTGTAGTTTAACATCGTTTTCGGAAAAAAATGCAAAATGAAGAAATATGCATTCGTAGTTAGCTTGCTATGCGGTATGAGTTTTGCTCATTGTTGAAGGCTGTATGGTAGTCGATAGGTGCTAACTTTTGCTTCATTTGGTCTCTGGTGGAGAGAAGTCTCATTGGCAATCATAGCATCTTCATAATTTCATAGTAATGATTATACACGAATACATTTATAGACACTAATGTGAATATTTTCAATTTACACAATTTGAGTTGGAGTTATTTCCCTTTGGCGGCCATGTTGTAGGGCAAACAGATTGATTTACTTATCTAAGCAAGTCTGATGAAAGACCCTTACTAGATAAAAGTGATGAATTAAACATGGGTTTAAACAAATACAAATAGATATGAAAACAACAATTTCCAAAGTCAAGTGGTCAATATGACATTTTGAATTTGGTTGTTTTATGAAGGATTTTGCGTATATTGCCCTACAACATGGTGGCTAAGGGAAACAACTCCAGCTCAAATTATGACAATGGAAAACTATCTATACCTGCATGTAGCGTGTGGATGACTTTCACATTTTGCTAACGTACATGGCGCAATGAAACAGTTAAATATAGCACCGTGACATGGCTCCTGCTTCAAGAATAAACCACTTACGGAAACTAAAAATGAACATCATAATCATACATATTATACATATACATACATGTTATGAGCCTTTAAAAGAAATGACAAATTAATTCAATTGAAGAAGAAGAAGAAGAAAAAAAAAAAGAATAGGAGAGTACGCTAGGCTTAATTATCTTCTAAAAACTACAATCCGCGTTTTCCTTAAAATATTTAAGCAGTAAAAAGAAATTAGTACTTTTCATAAGCAGTTTAAATCTTTTACCTTAAGTTCAAATATATAGTAGCACAAAGTATATTAACATGTATATGCCCTTAAAAATATTCAGCTGTGTTTGCTGCTGTTTACACATGTTAAAAGATCTTGTTCTATCCACAATTAAAAGCAACGCTAAAGATGGGTGTCTGTTTGGCTGTGTGGGATGTATAAATACCTCTACAAGTTCGGTCTAAATGTAGAGCTTAGGTGTCCGCTGCTATAAGGAGTGTGTCACATAATATCTGCACGTTACAGAACCCTTGTTTCAACGCTTTGAGGATTCAAAGGTGACCTGTTACGGGGCAAAATGTCTGTCCTTAGCCCACATATCCTCTTTTGTCAGTAGCAGCCCAAATTTTCCGCCTTCAATAGCGATCGATCCACTTTCAGACCCTACCTATTGACTATTTATTAATTTGGACAACCATGACATTTGTATTTGCCAGCGGACTTTAAACAATTAAACTATTCAATCAATTATTTAACTTGCTTTGTTTGGAGGTTGTTTCTTTTGACAAAATCATATATCCGTAGTGATAAGGAATCCACACAGTAAATGCGTCAAAAGATAGGAAACATAGTACATGGTTTAATTATTGGCTTTTAAAATTATCTTAATCATAAATCAATTTCGAATAGATGATCAATTTTTAGCACCAGAACTGATAGATACAAAAAGATTCCTAAAGATTTGATACTATGTTGACTACGCACTGTAGCATGTAAGGAGATGCATTCCATTTCTGTTTTGAATGTAGTATTAATGAACACTTAAGAAAATACTTTTGATTGGAAGAATATCATACACCATTGAATATATACATCATGAAACAACACATGGTGCTTTAAAATAAGCCTCCTTCTCAAAAAAAAAAGAGGCGGAAGCTATACCAAGGGGAAATTCAAAACTCAAACGTCGAGGAAAAACTGATAACACCATGCATGGCAAAAAACGAAAAACTGACAACACCATGCATGGCAAAAAACGAAAAACTGACAACACCATGCATGGCAAAAAATGAAAAACTGACAACACTCAGTCTACATGTATGCATGGCAAAAAACGAAAAACAACAAAAAGACGTACAAATCAACAAAACACTAACACAGAAAACTAAAGATCGAGAAATGTTGCATAGACTGAGGACAAGGAACAATGGAAATTATTAAATATGTAAAATGATTAATAATGTATGATATTGGTCAAGATAAAGTGCTTTTCCAAAGGAATATATTGTTTTCCTAAATAATTCATAGATGAGGAGAGGAGCCGCGAATGGTCATTTTTGTTTTGATTATGCAAGTGTTTCGAAATAAAATGTACCACCATAGTCTATTGCGATAATTATATATGCTGCATATAAATAATGACACGAGATTTTGAAATAATTTTAATTGCTTTTTTTACAATTCATGGAGCGGATGGTTTGGTATTCCTTGTTTAGACTCAAATCAAAATCATGTAAATCCGGAATTATGAAATGATACGATTTTTAAAACGAACAGATTTTTAATATAGCAAAGGAATTAGTGGACGTCGAACTTCAACAATCAAATAATTATGATATATTGTCTTAAATTACAAATACCTTGAGTTCTAAAATAATGTTTTTTATATACTATTTTATTATTATAGCCGAAGTTATCATTGTAAAACATTCTTACCAATAGACCCCAACAGGAAAAGATAAACTGCCACCTTCATGTCGGACAAAGATTTAATGTAATACTTTGACAGGAATTTGGTTATCTCAAACGTGATGATTAACCTCTGTTGGACTCCACAATGTAGATATTCTGACAAGTAGAAAAACTTGTCCTACAACTAATTCAAGTTATCTTGAGATACCACTTTACCTATTCAAAAATATCATGATTATACTATGATACAATTCCTCACTTTTATCTTTAATTTTGTATTCGCTTGATTTCTTATTTTCAGTTTAACCGACTATACGAAGCCAATAAAATGTTTCCAAATTAAATTATGATGACTTTTTCTGCTTAACTTTCAATGATTACGGTAGAAATTGGGTCTGCCTTTAAAAAATTTGGTGAAACCAAATCTTTAGTAGTCTGTTTTAAATGTATCCACAAAACCCGGAGCAATGCCGCGCGTGACATGTGCTATATATTAAGGACTTGTCTATAGCTGAAGAGATTTAAATTTTGTTTTTCGATTAAATAGCGTTAGTCTATAGATGCGTTAACGACGCATGTTCAACACCTCAATTTCTCTTATTTATTTAAATGTCAGTCTCCTTTACTATGTTGTCAACTCAAGATGAAATTTAATGTAAATAAATGTCAATCTCCCTTACTATGTAGTTAACAAATAAGGTCTGTTGTATATAAGGTAAGGAGATGTGGAATGATTGCCAATGAGACAACCGTCCAAACGAAGCGGATTTGAGCAACTACAGGTCACCTTACGTCCTTCAACAATGAGTGAAACCCATATTGTATAGTCAGCTATAAAAGGCCCCGACATGACATGTATGTACATTTACTAGATGATGAGTTTTGGTTTCTACGATTAGACTTTTAAATCGGAAATTTATTGATGAAAAAAAACCAGAAGAGGAAAGTAGTAATGCTCTTCTATTTGTCTCCATTTGCCCCTTAAGAAAAGAAATTGGAGATGCTTTCTTAAGGACTTAACAATGTACGAAAAACATATTTCATAGAAAGAAAAAATACATGTACCAAAGTGTAGCCATACGCACCCATCGATACCATCCATCAATTCTGTACTGACATGATTTATAACAAAACTTTCTTAAATTGTCCTTTAAAAAACAAGAAGTTATTGAGAAAATAAGGTTTCAACTCCCCAAGGCAAAGTTGGCCTTAGATGGATTTGACTATTATAAATTTTAGATTCTTTTAGTTCCTATAGCTCTTCAACTGTTTCGGTTCTTATACATTCTTAGCTTTCAAACATGTCCAAAAAAGCGCCTCCAACGCATGTAATTTATAAAGTGTTGTTTTCATTTTTTTCTGAAGTTTTCTCATTGCCAGTTACCTTGTTTAAATAAATGAGGAAAACAAAGCAAAATACATTGATATTTTTATTAACTATTGGATACTGGATACTATATACTAGCTATAAAAAGACTGTCATGTTTCATTGCCACTAGAAGCTATATATATATATATATATATATCCTCAGTGTTCTGCCTTCCTAGACGATTGGTAGTGTTGCTTGGCTGAAATTTAAAAAAATAAACATTTAAACATCTGTTTTTTGTTTTTGTTTTTGATGGTTTTGATATTTTTTGTTCTACACAATATACTGAAAACGTAAAATTGAAAGATTTATTGACCGCTGATCAAAGTTCACTTGCAAATATCATTTGCATAATTATTTAGAACATTGGTATGTAAATATGACATGAAAATGAAACGACATGTGTACTAGAACAACATACTGAGCCGTATTGTTTACGCACTAGTCCTCAACATACTAGCCCGAAGGAAGATAGTTACCCTATCTATATCACTGGTGTTAAACTGACAATCGTAACTGGAATTACGACGATCCCAATATGGCGACGGCAGAAATAGGTAAAATCTTTTCAGTCATTTTTCTCAAATGTAGCCCGTTGTTGTCAAGAGTTACTCAGCTACAAGGTTTTTCTATACCATTACATCATATTTGAATCGTAACGGTGCACTATAATTGTCTAAGCGCTTAGAAAATTGCCGTCGAAAAATTCGGGATGATAATCGTAACTCGCAAAAATGATAATCGTAATTTCGGTATTAATAAATAAGAAGATAATCGTAACTGGATAGTGTTTGATTGGTATTGACACGAAAAACGTCTATCTAATAGCATATGATGAAAATATGGTGATGAATTAATCACGAAAACGTTCCCACATCTTATGACATTTCTTTTTGTGCATATATGATTAACAGTTCTAATGTAAACAGCTACATACTACATGTAGTATATATCATAACATTGGAAGGGGGACCAGCTTCAATAAATTTGTAAATGGGGAAACACAAACTATGTTAAAATACTGAAAACTCCAGGAACTAGGACCTTCACAAAATATGGGAGAAAATTTAAAAAAATGTCATCATGATCTCTTCATGTTTAGAGTTAAAAAGAAATATTGTTTGGTATTCTATTTAAATACGGACTTGAAAACAAATGTCACACTTTTTTAAATGTGCTCAATTTCAAGGTCATCAACCAAGGACCTCAAATCAAAAGACCATAGATCTTAATTATATTTGGTTCATGAGTTATATCACCATATGCATATTTTTTAAATAAAGAGGGGAGAAAACTCTAATTGATGTAAGCGCACCCTTTAAACCAATATGTATTTGTTACGACATGTCGCAACTAACAATTAAGTAAAAATATGTTGTCGATATCGTGTTTGAAAAGTGGTGAAAATAAACCAAATTTAGAAATGACCCTATTTTTTTGGACCAAGGATCTCAAATCAAAAGACCCTAGGTCTTTATCATTTATGGTTTACAAGCTACATTTTTCTTATTAAAAATACAAAAGGGAAAATAACTCCCATATGTAGTCTCCGGACCGCTTCGGTCAAAATTATTTTTAAGATCCTGAAGATATAACGAGCAAATTTGGTGAAATAATTTTGTCGTAATCTTTAACGTTTGCGAAGGAGATTTGTACACAAGAAAACAGTGTTTGGGGAGATAACTCTTACAATAAAAAGTGTTCGGCTTAACAGGGTCAGTTTCAAAATCGTAATAAACGTTCGATATCATACGCAAAAAATTTAAGCGACATCTTGCGAAACAAAAAAGCATCGTCAGAAAAAAGTGGCGGAAGAAGAAAAAAAAAATAAAAATTATAATAATCAGAAGAAAAAAACCAATAGGGCTTTCCACAGAAAAGTGGAAAGACCTAATAAACACAAGGAATGATAAACACAAGTAACAATAATAACAATAAACTGGTAACTATTCTAGATCCTTTACCATCCACCCTGTTTAAAGAAACGTCCTAAAATACATGGGTATTTAATCAAAATATTTGAATTTATTTTTTAAAATCATATAAAATATCAGTGTAAACCACTGATGGAAAATTTTGTTCATTTCTCGCAGAAATTTAGTATAAACGTTCAGTTTATAGCACCCCCCCCCCCACACCATTTCCCTTTTACATAATTTGTGGACCCATCCCCGAATATAAACAACAGGGAACTCAAAACTGACAGCGATCTTATGATAAATGAGGTCTGTATAAGGCACGGGGGAAGGGGTGTTGTCAATTCTGGCGTGCTGCTGAAATTTAAAAAAAAATATCCCCTTTCTTATATTGCCGACGACCAAAAATCTGATCCATGTTATCTTATATATTTATATACATGTAGGAAGTAACCCACAGCCACCCCCGTGGTATAGGGAATATTGAGATAGGGGAGGTTAACTTGCCCTTTTTATTGATTTAAAAGTCGATTGGATATATGCAATATTTGAGGCAAAACATATGGCATATTGAAATGTGTTATATTGGACTTTCATTTGAAAGGATTACACTTTTGGGATATGGGATAATGCTAATACCCCCCCTTTCCAAAAAAACCCTAAATGCGAAAACAACATTGAAACTTTGAAAGAATTTAAATTCTCTATTTACCACAATAACTGACTCGACGGCTGCTTCATTTTCCATATCTTTAACAGGTACATGTATATATTAAAAGGTTATGCATATTGTTGTCAGTTATAAATCGAAATATATATATACATGTAAGTAAATTTGTCCTAAATATTAACCTGAAAGTTACTTCATTATTTTTTATTTTGCGCGTTAATGTCATCGTTTAACTGGACATTGCCGCTTTTACACACAAAATACCATTGACAAGCTGGAAGACACATTTATTATTTTTCAGTTACTATTATCCCATAAAGAAATTACGATTATCAAACAAGAAAAAGTTTTGCGAGTTACGATTATCATCCCGAAGTTTTCGACGCCAGTTTTCTAAGCGCTTAGACAATTATAGTGCACCGTTACGATTCAAATATGATGTAATGGTATAGAAAAACCTTGCAGCTGAGTAACTCTTGACAACAACGGGCTACATTTGAGAAAAACGACTGAAAAGATTTTACCTATTTCTGCCGTCGCCATATTGGGATCGTCGTAATTCCAGTTACGATTATCAGTTTAACACCAGTGTATATACAACTGACGAGGTTCTGCATATGGACGTAATTTCACGAAGATTTTTTTTTTTATTATTAATTGTTTACATTATTCGCTCTATAAAATTCTCCATCAAGTCTTATTTTTGTGAACATTATTCCCTGGTGGTGTTCATATTTGGATGATTTGGAGATTTCGGTCCGTACTCGTCATAATTGTATGATTAAGGTTAATTAATTGATTGACTTTTGGTGGTTAACACCACATTCAGCACTATTGGCTTTTTATGGAGGCTAGGTTATTGGTCGAGGTAGTTATGCCAGGGAAGAACAACCGAACTTGGGTAGAAATACTGGCATTCATAGTTAATAAAGATTGGAGTCGAATGCACCTGCCATGTGCGGGGTTCGAACTCACAACCTCATTGTTGACAGGCTAGTGATACAGTAGATGAACTACTTAGACCACTCGGCCAACGAGGTCCCTATCAAATAACATAGTGTTTAGACTAACTTTAATTAATACAAGTAACAGTACTTATAAAATTACTAAAGAAACAGTAGTGTTTAAAATTGCCATATGTACAATGACTCTTGATGTTGATAAACTGAAACTTACCAATCTACTTTTTGTCCTGCCTGAAAAAATTCGGAGTTACAACCTCCACAATAATTAGCCCTGCAAAAGTAACAGATACGATGTTGTACGTACACATCACCAGGGGGTAGGAATTTTCATCAATGGTCAGGTTGATAACAGAAGGGGAGGAATAAATGTCAGAACAGCACTCGTACTAGCAATTTATGCTATAGGTTAATTTAGAAGTTAAGAGCACCAAGTACAATATTAATTATGTACATGTACATATTATGAATTAAACTACAAGAAGTTAAAGTTCATTGTGTATGGTCAAACTTCCCATATACACTTTCCAAATTAAAAAAAAATACAGGTTTTCTTCTTAAATATGTCCAGTGCAATATACTGATTTGTGTTTGCTTAAAATAAGTGTGTCGGACTGTTTCTTGATATCCACATACATGTTATGTCTTTTCTTTAAAAAAAATCAAACGACAAGAACAAATTAAATTCACAAACTTCAAGTCATAGAAGAAACTTAAACACACGCGGAGGAAAATCGGAATCATGCGTTTTAAAACAAAATAATGAAATTCAACAGTTATGATCTGAGTGACTCCCCTTGTTGTTGTTGTTTTGTTTGTGTTTCATTGTCAGTTTCATTTGTTGATTCTTTCTTATTTACAACTCACATTATTCTAGGACTGGTTTTTGTAAAATTATAATAAATTTTTTTCGAGATGGACAGCAAGCTTTTAATGACGCGTAATTTTGTTCATTTACTTATATATTTATTTGTTTTCTTTCTTGAATAAACAGTAAATCATATTTCAGCACAATGAAAAGCCATCCTTTAGAAACTACTTCTTTTTCTAAACAGATTTTGTTTTAAAATAGATTCATTTTACTTGATATTCATAGGATGAAGACATAATCTTTCAATCAGTTTAATTGAGGTCTGGAGCTGGCATGTCAGTAACTGCTAGTAGTCCTTTGTTAATTTATGTATCATTGTCATTTTGTTTAGATTATTTTGTTACCTATTCTGACATCGGACCAGGAATTCCTTTGAACTGAGTTTTACTGTGCGTATTGTTGTGTGTTTGTTTTTTCTACATTGGATAGAGGTATAGGGGGAGGGTTGGGTTGAGATCTCAAAAACATGTTTAACCCAGCCGCATTTTTGCGCCTGTCCCAAGTCAGAAGCCTCTGACCTTTGTTAGTCTTGTATGATTTTTAATTTTAGTTTCTTGTGTATATTTCGGAGTTTAGTTATTATCCATTATCACTGTACTAGTATACATTTTTGTTTAGGGGCCATCTTAAGCACGCCTCCGGGTGCGGGAGTTTCTCGCTGCATTGAAGACCCATTGGTAGCCTTCGGTTGTGGTCTGCTCTTTGGTCGGGTTGTTGTCTCTTTGACACATTCCCCATTTCCATTCTCTATTTTTTTAACATGCATAACATAATAATGTTGAAAAGCACATCTCACCTGCAAACTGCTGTAGGGAAATTTGGGCATTCACTTAGAAGGCATGGGTCTATAAAGCACTGCACCGACTTCTCCAAACAGGTATCCTTGTTATTATTAGAACCATTTACTGAAACTAATAAGTTTTAAAAGATGTAGAAATTTAAACTGTTAAACTGTTAAACTTAGTGAATTATAAACAAAATAACGACAAGTTAAATTTGACATATAAAAAGTGATTTCAAAGAACCTCCAGTGTGAATTAAAAAAGTCAGTATAAAGGGGGGGACCTGAAATATCCAAAATGAAATATCTGAGAACAATTAAATTGTGTTGTCATCAAAGTCGGTAAATGAATAGAATGTCTATCACAGTCAATATCAAAACAGACAAATCAAGATCGTACAAACCCCGAAAAAAAATTCTTAAGATCTGATACATTTACATATATACATTTAAAATATATCCTATTGCAAATTGTATTTCTACTCTTAACCATAATTTTATATATTTACCTAATATAGTTAGAAACAAACAAACTCCTGCTTTCCACATGTTGGATTGACTTAGTTCTCTAGTCTACGTATTCAACCGATTCTGTGCTTTATCAAAATTCAAACGGTTACAATTATCAGATAAAGGTACTATTCGTGCGTAAATGTACCTTTATGGAATTAAATCTACTATTGATATTTGTTGTTATAGATGGAAATTTATACAGTTCACTACACTTCCGAATCAAAACAGTTTGTCAGTACACCAGAAATTAGATAAACAATACTTTGGTGCGTCGATACGCATGCCGTGATTGACTGTTGGCAAGGAACGACAAAAATTGTTTGGAAAAACGCAGGTGTGATATAATACACTGAGAATCACGTTTTTTTGTCAGGGGGGGGGGGGGGGGGGGAGTGATCAGCTGAAAAAGAACTGAATTGTAACCAGGAAATCAGTCATGGTTCCTGCAAAAATAAGAAATAATCATGTTATGGCCATTATATAATAAATCTTTCTTTCTTTTTCAACTTTGTTTTCACAATTGAGCCGGTAGTGAATTTTAATTTTCAATTGTTTGCTAGTTTGTGTGAAAACTCTGCTCAATAAGAATAGGTCAAAATATTTACTTTTCTGCGTTGAAAAAAATCAACGCGTGGGTTAGACTATATGATTTGATAAGTATGGTCTTATTGGAAGGAAGATACACACTCTCAAATCAGTTTTTCTAGACTTAGGAGTATTTCTAAATCACATGTCGATTGTATAAACTATAGTCAGAGGCTGAGTTTAGAAAGCCAAACATGTACACAAGAGAAATTAAATTATACCGATTTTGAAGAAGATAATAAACAAACAATAATATAGCCCAATCAGTCCAAACCACCAACTTTGCTTGATTGAGTTGCTGTTTTTGTTGCAAAATTTATCATCTAAGAATTTAACAAAATTTAACTTGTGTAATTGTCAGTCCGTACACAATGATGATTGGGCGATTACAAGATGTTTGTGATGGTACAGTTATTAGACATTTGCGATAACTCCTTCTATGTCTAGGATTACAAGTAGACTTACGATTACAGTAGACGAAAAACAAGGAGTCATCTCAAAATTTAAAAAAAGCAACAAAAGAGATACCTAGTAAAACCAAATGATTGTATTTTTATTAGGTAAATAACAATTTCCGACGACACACTAATGCAGCGCAAACGGTAACAGCAGATATGTATCGCTGTATGGACATGTTACCAAAAAAAACCCATAACTTTGTTAATTCTTCAATGGCGTGTTCCAGCTTTACTTTATAGTGTGTAATAAGTCTATTTGATTTTTTAGACTTCCTCTGCATATCCTGGGGTTTGTCTTGTATAAGGTTTATAATCTTTTTGTTATTGTTTCAAAATTGTGTCTTACCTTATTTTAGTATAGCAAATACAGCAAAGGGTACTCTACAAACGGTGCACTTGAAAATCAGGGAATATGTGATAAGCAAGTAACACGATATAATTATTAAGCCCGCCGTAGCGCAGTGCTTTTGAAATATCAATGTCCTTCGTTTTCACGATTATATTTTGTATCCGAAACTGCTCCCTAGCCGATTTAAATAGTTTACGATTCTTTTATACAATTTTTTTTCTCGCCTGATATACCTTTGCACCTTTTATTTCTTTTAATCAATGGATTAATTTTGCGAAAAAAAGTTTGTGTAACTGTCATAAGTGCACTCTAAAGTACAATTGTACCGGTCTCGGATCAATAGTTACTAATCATGCTTCGATCAGACCAGAAGAGAAATAATTATCGACACCGTGAAAAAAACCTGTCTATACTTAAATGATTCCCAAGATCTCTATAACAATTACACAAACAACAACCAACTTAGGACCCGGTAGTCATTTGTACTTGCGTCGCTGAAGGCGAAAGCAGGTAATACTGTATATAATTGTTTACATTTCAATGTTATGATGTTTGGATGTATAAATACTCATCCACGCGTACTGTTTTTGTGACTTGGATGGAGAGTTGTCTCATTGGCACTCATACCACATCTTCTTATTTCTATATAGTAACCGCTCGGCTCTGTCCGTCCATTTGTTCGAGAAACCTTGTGTAAAAAAACTTTTACTCAAAGTATTCCTTGCCTCTATAGAAAGGAATGATATTATATTTGGTCTGCAACTTCATAATTGTGAGTTGCAGCGTGTATGCTTTTTGTACATCTGCCGTGCAGCCACTTCCTGTTGCCGATAGTTTGAAATTTTACAAGTCTCAATGCAAAGGGAAAATTTTTCGTCAAAGTTCGACGCAGGTCTAGACTCGGTATTGGTTTTATTTAATCTTTGAAGATAGGTAGTAAAATTCCAACTATTTGACTACTTCTGTTTTGCATTTCAAAAGAGTCTGACGAATATTTTAATTATATATTCGATACAAAGATGTTCATTGATAACGATGTTGTGATTTTCGTATATTGTTGATTTTTTATATTCCAAAAACGTGGACAAAAGTGTTTTCCCCAATTCAGAAAAAACTAAAGACAATACAAAAAATATCAAACAGCAAGTATAATGCAATGAAGAATAAATAGTTCTTAAGAACCCAACCTCTGTACTCCCTCATTTTCTGAAGAAAAAAATATGGAAACTATATGTCTTAGCATGAACATTAAATATTGTCAACATGCTCCTTAGTTGATCGTCTTTTCTTTACACTAAGTCTTGCTGAAATCAATTTCTCATTGTCCCAACCTAGCCAACGACAATACGATTGTTTTTATGTCTCGCGTAAAATTTATTAAATGATGTTTGTCCATTCTATCATACTCCGTACATTAAAAGCATGTTACATGTACAATAATTAATATGTACAAATTACTTCATATATTCTTTAAAACCCTGTTGTTCAACTATAGAAAGACATAATATGAGTTAGAATACGTGTTGGAACGACGGTTTATATTTACGCTTTGAGACGACCCAAGATTTAAATGCTACCTGAAAGTGTAATTGTAATCCTAATCGTAGGTGTATGACAGTTTCCAATCAACCAAGAGTTATCTGCAGTGAATTGTATTTTGTTTAAATGTTTATAAAAATATATCACTTTGGGCTCAAGTAGGATATACGGTTCTATAGTTCCGGCTTTTAAAATAAATTTATACTCGTATGTATTCATGGGCAATAAAGGTATTTAATTATACAATGAAAAAAAATAAATGACTGGTAGACAGATTGACATGTCGACAGGTTGACAATGTGTTAAAATGTAAATATTTTTATGGTTGAATGGTTGACAGGTTGACAAGTCGACAGGTTGACAATGTTAAAAAGGAAAATATTTTTATGGTTGACTGGTCGACAGGTCGACAGGTTGACAGGTTGACAAGTTAACAATTTAATATTATTAAAATTGAAGTTATGGTTGACAAGTCGACAGGTTGAAAATTTGAAAATAAATTATATAGTGTAAAATAGTAATATTGGTGACTGGTAGACAGGTCGACAAGTCGACAGGTTGACAATTTGACGGTGAGAAATGAAAACTGTAATAATGGTTGACAGGTTGACAGTCGACAGGTTGACAGGTCGACAAGTCGACAGTCGACAGGTAGACAGTAATAAGTCAAGACTTAATAAAAAGGTTAAAAAACTGAAGTTAATTTTATTTTACTCAATTACAATTTAGTTTTGTATTCAAATAAATAGTTAATAGTCAATGGCTAATGTACGAAACAAACAGCTATTAGATAGCCTATGGCGCTAAATTCGGCATAAATTTGTTTGCTAAATGACTGATATTTCATGCATGTTCAGAACGAGTTTAAAATAAATATTATTCCAAAAGAGAACAACGCAATAGTAAGCAGTTTATTTTTATCAGATTGTCAACTTATTGTAACATCAAACCTGTCAACCTGTCGAACTGTTAACTTTTACACTTGTCAACCTGTCGACCTATACACTTGTCGACCTGTCAACCTGTTGACCTGTCCATTTACTTGTCGACCTTTTAACATGTCGACCTGTCGACCTTAACACTTGTCAACCTGTCGACTTTTACACTTGTCAACCTTTCTAGTGTCAACCTGTCGACCTGTTAGTCTGTCAACTTATGTACATATAAACCGATTTACTTCTTAAGTTAAACCGATTTACTCCTCTGTTCTTCCGATGGAACTACAGTACCGTTTATCCTACTTGACCCGCACTTTGTTTATTTTATGATATCATTTTCACAAAAATGCAAATAATCTAGGAAATCAACATTGCTAGTGCTATCACAGCTACAGTTATCATTGGAGTTATATGCAATTTATAGCGTAAGGTTAACATTAGCAATATCTCAAACCAGTTTGAAGATCGAAGTTGGTTGAATATTTTGGAGGGGAGTTATAAGCTTTGAATTGTAAATGATGTGTCATTTCAAGCTCTTTTAAAATTCTCATAGGAGTTAAATGGTTGTATGTTTAGTTAACCTTAAGCAATATAACATACTTAGA